TTACGTCAGTAGTTTTTAATATTTCTATTAGCGAGCTATAAAAACAAGAATTTAAGTGAACAATAACATCTAATCGTCGCAAGGGCATGCAAGAATAATAAAAGGGCTGTATTCAAGTCAAACCTCAACAATACTAATACCGAACGACTGGCTTTTGCAGCCAAAGCCGGATATTTCGTCATTTCAGATCCTCTGAATTTTTCATTCTACCACATCATACAAAAAACGGTTATGAAGAATTAAACTTCAAACGGAAAACTTCAAATATGACCTATCCAACATTAGCCTAATACCGAGTCAAATTAGAAAAAAACAGTTGCAATTCTATTGAAACGCCATATTTGTCGGTAAGCATCCGGTGAAAAAATTCTCGGATTACTTGGCGTCATGCCTTATGGACCTTCTTTAACACTTTTAATACCTGGAATTTTATCAACACAAACAAAGGGAAACAACGACGAATAAGCATGAATAGTTGAGAAAATCATGATTATCAAAACCTAGTTCTGGAAGACTTGTAATCAAGTACCAGTCGGTGAATAGTAACGATTTGAACTCTTCTCKATCAAGTCGTTCGAAATGAGATCCGAATTAGAACGAATTCAACCAAAAATGACAAAAACAGACTACAATAATATTCTTAACAGAGATTAACTACCATTAACATAAAGCAGGCTTACATAAAGTAACGTGTTCTATACGTTGTAGAATAGGAATATGATTATAGAGCGTTAATTGTTTGGCGCGGCAATAGAGGGCAATAGGCCGCTGTATTCAAGCATTCCAACTGAAAGACTGTCCTGAACTAATATATCCTATCCTAAATACCCAGTAGAACACATTCCAAAACATGCACTTAATAGTAATCAAAAGATTTTTAAGTATATTAACGTCTTAGYCATTAGGTGATTTCCCTAGCTTTTAATAAGATGGTATTTCGCTGTATATTGCACATTAAACTGAACCCCCAGTATTAAGAAACATACCTTGAGATAGTGWGAAACACACTAGYAAAACAACGATGGTCAAYTTCATTTCTTGTCCACTAACAAAACGCTTGCTCGAAGATTTACTGAAGAAACTACTTGCTCTTGGTACCAATTGCGCGTTCACACATCGAGCAAAGTCTTTTAAATGCCGGTAATATGATATGACTTAGGTAGTACGTCATACGAGTTCCACCGGAAATAAAACAATTCCCCCATTGATATGGAATATAGGTACTCGATTGAATGCCTTGGGCGGACGATGAACGATTTGATCATTTTATGCACTATTTCTCATTATGAAGCTAATTTTTTAATCATTTTACATCTAGTCGAAAAAATCACCCTTTGTAGTACCCATTCCTCCGCCCTAGTTTTGATCATACCCAATATCGTTTACCATGCATAGGAAGCCCCCTCCCCCCTGCCTTTCCTTCCTTCCCCTTCCCTTCCACTCTTTCCCCTTCCCTTCACATCCTTCCCTTTAATCTCCTTTCCTTCCATCCATTCCCCTTATTCAGACTTGAGAGCTGAAAAAAACGTACCCGTATAGTTTGTCGGCGCCAGATACTTGTGTAGCAAAAGTCACTGAGAAATGTATAAAATACATAAATAGGAAAAGTAAAACTAATCACGTGTTTAATGTTTTTCTGTAGTAACGCTCCATTCTTTTGCGTTTTTGTATGACTTCGATCGTTTTCTCGTGCATGAGAKCACTGCTAATCCTTTTCAAGCGTTTTTACGACCAGGCCTTTCTCAGTTTCCCAACCGAAAATCGAAAGCTCTGACTCGAGACGATACCGGAAGACCTAGAATCGTGCATATGAAATTCTTCATTATTTTCTCCTATGATACTGTTATCCACAGTATATGTTTTATAGTTTTTGTGTATTTATGTTAATTATTAAGTTTCCGTAGCCTGTTACGTCATTGTAATTCTATCCTAGTTTTATGTTTACACACGTGCGATTTACTCGTTCTACGATTCTACTACACGCTACTTTAAACAACGCAATCTCTATCAAGTTTTCTATCTTCAATCGATTATAGGCACACCAAAGTAAGTGATCTTTAATTATTTGTATTTAAGTAATGGTCGTGTGAAGTTTTATCAGTTATCGGTTGTAATTAAGTAATTATTTTAGATCAATTGTAGACGCGTTGTATGTATTAGTTGATTCTTCTAATACCCACAGTTTATCATACAAAATTGTAATTTAGATTAGTAATATAGTATTATAGATACAAGAAGAAGTTATAACTAGGATTTCGATCTGTTCCATTGCAGTTCGAACCACATTTAAGCACATTTCTGCAATCAAGTCAATTTCAAGTCAAATTCAAAGTCTATCATTCAGTCATCATTAAAAGTCTATGTGCGTTCGAATCAGTGTCCTGTTTGCCCATCTATATATTCTAAGCTGCCCATGTAATTGAAGATTACAGATACAATCTACTTTACTACTTGAACCCGAGTAAACGCTCTAAGAACGTGTAGTTCATTAAACTTAAAAAACATTCAACGGTAAATCGAAGGATCTGCTTGCTGAAAAATGATGCTTTGATTTGATCGGTTCAAAAAATTCCCAWGTCGGAAATGATAAGCAAATCATACTTACCGCAAACTATCAAGTCTATGATCAAGAAACATGGAGAACGGGTCATCAAGATGAGACTTCTGGCCCAGGTCTCAGTCGGACTCGTTGAACGGAATTCCTTATGGAAAATGGAATCACTTTTATCTTGTTAATTTTTCCAGTTTTTAGAATGAGCTGCCAGGTTTTACTACATGATTACTATTTCAGTTAAGAATTTAATGCTCCTAATTTGGATCTTTTTATGTCATAGCTCTTCGAACCATCTAAGAACGGCATCAGTTTTGAGTTCATTGTTTGAGCGGTCATTTAATTTCAGAAGATTTTTATTTAATTGTAAACGGCGCAGTACATATATGGGTCCAGCAGTTTTACAATAACACTTGAGCTACAGTATGTAAGCAAACAATACAAACTTTGTCACGAACACATAAAATATACACAGGAAGCCCGCGAGGTCAGCCAATTCAGTCATCATTGATTGACTCTCGTCTGTGAGACAAAACGACTGTCAGAGATGTGGRGACCATTTGAGTTGCAGTTGCAGTTTTATTCTGTTCATTGTGTATGTGATACTAAAGATATTATATCAAAAATAAATTGAAAAAAAATGTTTGCTAAWAAGTACATGATATATATTTTTATTCTATCTCGCAATTGGTCTTGAAGAAAATTCAAAATAAAAACTATCCGGCTGAGTAAAGTAAAAAACATTGACTTCAAAAAAAAAAAAAATAAATATACAAAATACATTTGTATTTTAAGAATGTGGATTTCTTGTATACGTGAAGAAATACGTGAAGAATCATTTTGTTGTTTTAGAAAGGAATACACTTCGTTTAAACGTATTTTTGTTCAAGTCAATGGCAAGTTGTACTTGCTGAAGCCARGACATTTTGTTAAAAGTCGTCGCAACTTCGAGACTCGCTCGGGCAGATTCTCGTATCCCGAGWCCTGTCACGTGACGGTACAATGMAGTCGAYTGGAGAGCKGGGTCYTCACTCATTGTTCTTTTACGCACACTTCCTTTATGAAGAGCCTCTGACTTCCTAACGACATTATCTTCGCTTCTCCGCTTATCTGAGTTGTCTCTCGATATTAATTTCTTGTAATTATGTTGAATATTCAACGATTCCGGGCTTTGAATGGCTCGAATTGGATTAATTGGCGGCATCCTCGGTGTATGCGTTTGACATTTTTCTTCGTTTCTAGATGCTTCCTCTCTGTCGGGAGTCCAAGAGTTAGCTGCCTTTGTTGGTTTATCTTTAATRTCAAGTAAAGTCTCTGTCACAAACACTCTTTCAATATCTGCCAGGTCTTTTTTCGCCTGGTGRCCGTCATGTTCAGGTAGTTTCGGGTTGTAATTTYCACTACTATTGTTATGGCTATGAGAAAAACTGCTTGCTGATCCGTTTAAAAYMTGAGTTTTTACTGTCATACGTCCCTCGGTTGGACTCRGGTTCTTTTCAGTTGATTTTTCGTCGTTTTCTGTCGATACTTTCCATCGATATGAGTTATGTTTAATTCGTTTYTGTTTGTRTTTTTGTTTCGAATTTGTGATKTGAAGTTGATTATTCTCAATGGTTTCTTGTTTGGAAATCATACCATGGCAACGCGACTCTGAAACAGCTGGCAAAGATTCATTCGAATTTCGCGATGCTAATTGCGTCTTTGAGCGATTTTGTGAGCTTCTTTCCCAAGAGGATTCGCTCGAGCCTTCAAAATCCTCAAACTCCGATTTTTCTTTTAAAAACAATAAATTTTCATTGCGACTTTCAGTGTTTAAATGTAGACCTGTAATTGGTTTGTATGTTTTTGAATTAATCTCTGATTCACCTGTCTCGTGTTGGGATTTCTTYCTTGCGTCGCTTTGAACTAAAGAAAACTCAATTTTTGAAGCTGACGTTTGAAGTCTTTTYCCATATCCGTCAACATAGACCTTCTGTCCTACGGCAGCTTTTCTATATGTCCGTTTCTCCATGGCAAGCAGAAGTGGGCTGGGGTTATGTTTATGGAATATTAACGCTCTGTCTTTCGCACGTTCGCTCCATTTCTTRATCTTGGCGTAAAGTGTTATAGTCAAACCATCCATACTTCGAGAGCGAAATTGCTCGGCGATCAAGAGCTTAAAGCACTCAGTTTGCTTGAATCTCCTTGCGATGTTACAAGGTGTTAAGCCATTACCATCCTTGACCAGTATGCAAGCATAGTTGTGATGGACGAATTGTCGCAGACAAACTAGACTTCCGTTTTGTGCTGCTTGATGGACAGGAGTTTTGAGATGATCAACATGAACTTCTCTATTGCACCATTCTCTTATCGGGTGTTCTCCTACAGGTTCATCGGATCTCGCACCTGATTTCAGCAGCAATGCGGCTAACTGATGATAGCCATAATGTGCTGCAATAAACAGACCAACTCGTAGTTGATATTTAGCAACGAGTGGATCGTCATTTAAACTAACCATGTATTTTAATGTCGGTGTTAAGTGTCCTTTCGTTGCCGCTTTCAAGAAGTTTGCCCATCCGTCCCAAGTCTCTAGCCGTAGTGTATCACCAATATTGATGTTATAATCTTTGAGATAATGGCAATCGAACATTTCAACTTCATCRTGTTGTGTAACTAAGCGAAATACGCTGACATGCAAGCCAGTTTTGTCCATTATCATTGATCGTARATCGCTTACTTTAGTGTCATACACAGGGAACGCTTCGGTGAATTTTATCGTCTCGCCGGAATACACGCAATACACATTGAGATACGATTTGACRTTTTCAACCAGCTCGCATTTCAAAGTGACTCCAGATGCGATATTCAAATCGCTGTAAATCCATTCGTCAAGGAGAGAGCCCCCAGCAAAACGAATGATCATGACTAAATCGTTCTCCTTGTCCTCATTTTGTACAGTATCTAAGTCAAACTTACGACGAAGCATTTGYTTCATTTCACCGACTGTTTGCCCAGACTGAACATCCAAGCAATGGCGTTCGCCATTGAATAGCACAAAAACCCTCATGTCAAATGAAAACCATTTCRCTGGTGAATCTGCATCAAATATCCTTTGAAAATGATATTAATTCTTGTGGATTACATCGGTCGCTAAGAGATTTGCCGAGGAATACAYAGTAACATCGTTAAACTATTAACGAAGCCAGAGCTATATATGGCGTGCGGAACAGACTGCTGGCCACCAGTTATGACTAACACTTSAYAACACTGATGGTCTAATAATTCWATTGATGTCAATTGAAGCCAATAGGAAAACAGTAAGCCATTAAACCACTGAGGGCCTGTATTATCCCTTGTCTCAATAATCCTTTAATAAGAATGCTAAACTCAATCTCCAATTAAGCTTTTGTCTCCTTAATTGAGAAATACATCGGTTGTCTTAAGAATTTTGACAGAAACACTAATCAGCGAATATTTTGCGACGTAAATGAATATTTAACGGATTATTCTCTTTTGTTTTTTGTACACAGTAGTGYAGTGGATCGGCATTTGTGTACCTATTTTGTTTTCCAGATGGTTGAGCCGAAGCCTTTGTGTTATGTCAAAACCAGAACATCAGACATTAGGATATATATAGTGATTTAAGCATTTTTTTTGTTGAAAACAGCATGTTAGTACATGGTCTTTTGACCYTGTAGCTACACACAGTATGGTATCAAAACATTAATATTGCCTTAAAAGTACAAAAGTCTATTTGGAGTAAAAGCAATGAACAAAATAACATCAGGATTCATTCATTTTACGAACAAAAACATCCACAGGATCGAAGTTGAATGAATTTCTAGTCTTTTATTAGCCTTCATTGTACTCATGAATATTATATAATATATAAGTATGTTTATGGCATTCCAGTAAATATAAAGATACTCAGAGACAATTCAAACGGGGCAATAAAAGTACGAATAAGTTATGAATTTTGCTGGATCGTCATTATAAAATGTTGCTACTTTTGACTGTACGTTTTGTAATTAGTAAAACTCTGTCATACCAAACATTAATGATATGAGAACCCCGGCATGGCACTATGATAAACATGATRTAGAAATAAAGGAAAGGCCTTAGTGCTTAGAAGGAGGTTATTCCGGGAGAAAGACCCTTGGAAAATAAATTTGGAAAAAATAATTTCCAGCGAGGTCGGACATTAATTTTTCCGAATTTATTTTCCAAGGGTTTTTCTCCCGGGATATCCTTATTCTAAGCACTATTCCTTTCCTTTATTTCACATTGGTCGATAAAAAGATAAAATGTTCAAGAAAATATGAGCGTATGCTCTTTTAAAACCAGCATTTTCGAAAGTATTCGGATACGATGGTTGAGGGACACGAAATATATTCATATTGATAGGTGCCTAATGTGGGTTTGGAAATGTCGGAATAATTGTAAACGCAAATTCTTACAGTAGATTCTAATAAAACCATTGTTTGTTCTCTRTACGTGAGTTTTTACTGTACTCTCAGGAAAAAATAAATCAATTAGCAAAACCAGTTTGACACTGGTTTGAGTTTAAAGCTCTCAGACCTATAGTTCTGGTCTCCCACGAAGAATGGCTTTGTCAATCAAACGAGKGTACGAGGTGTTAATATATTATTTGTAGGTTCCATATTAATCCAMACCATCAATGTCACCTACCTAATCAGCTTGTCTCTCAATAGAACAAACATTGACACTTTTAAATAATAAACATCTTTATTTGCATTTAAGTTTTCATTCGCTACAAAAGCTGCATTATTATCAACATTGAATAGCCGACTTGCGAATTACGCATCAATAGTCACATACAAAGGAATCAAGACGAGGCGCCGTGCTAAAGACAATAGATTTTTCACAAAAAAGCACGGCGCCTCGTCTTGATTCCTTTGTATGTGACTATTGATGCGTAATTCGCAAGTCGGCTATTGAAATCTAAAGCTTAAACTACAATTTTCACTACTAAAAAGCATTGTTAACGTTATCAACTTTTCGCCAATAAAACTGCTCAACTATTTTAAATTTACCAGCTAATTCATGCCCCAATAGCATTGTTCAATTTGTTAATTTTTTTTTCTTATTTGGATTATTAGATGAAACACGAGTACGAGTGAAGATCAGCGTATCGAAAAACCRTGTGCGAGATACAAAACGAGGCAAAGCCGAGCTCTTTGACTCGCGTGTAGGCTTCTTGATATGCTGATGAATCACGAGTGCAAGTATTTGATCTACAAAGTGATAAAAATATTCCTTTTTGAACGTAAACTGTTGGCTTGTAAAAATAGCTAAGGTTCTGCACTGGCCCAATATATTCTACAGCATACAGTTCAGGAAAAATAGCCTAGCTTTCAGCTTTCCTCGACATTGCCGTCAAAAAAGGCCGTGCAACTAGATCAGAATCTTTTCTCTGACAATCGAGACAATTTCAATATTCAGCCTAAATTGTGCATTCGTTGTGCAAACGGTTGCTGTTTGTTAATGACACTAATATTTTCTTCGTCAAATTGAAGAAACGTTTCCGTAGTTAAAAGGTAGAACGTAATTAATAATTAAGCTATGACTGACGTGTGGTAAAAACACTAACGATGCTATAAATAATGATATACACCAAATTGAAAAACCGTTGTCGGGTCGAGAAAAAGTTAATACCATGGAAGCTAACAACGAAGGGATTTTAATTACTTAGTACATCATTTGAATAATATTTGCCCAAACATATTTTTATATTACTTGTAGAGAAGGTCACGTTATTCATGGCAGGTAATCTCTTGACTCTCGAAAAGTCATGCACATCGTATWTGTTTWCCCATCGTCCCTATCGGTCTTCCAACCACAATTCAGGTGCATCATGGGTAATTTYGTGTGATTTTCTCATTRACTATTCTCGCTTATAAATAAGATTGAAAATCGAGAAAACTTTTGAAATTACTCTTATTGAGGGTAATTATTATCAAATTCTGATGTTAGATGAGATATTAAGCCTATTATCAAACGGTTAGATGAGAGATTAAGCCTATTATCAAACGGTCAATAGAGTATTCAAGTGATAACGTCACAAAACGAAAATCTTTGAGTTTTTAAATGAACTGCGAAAACGTTTCTTCAATTTGATGTACACCTAAAAACAAGGTTGTTTTCAAATAGAGAAAGAGCATAAGTGATTTAGTTAGCAAAGAATTCATTAACAAGACGAAGACAAGTTTTTAGTTTGAGTGGGATATTTCTGTCTTCAAATGAATTCCTTCCCCAAATGTTCTTTTTCCACATAAAAACGATCTTGTATGAAATAGAAAAACGTATACAGAGACGCCATTTACTCGGGCAAAACATGACGGTAAATCTAGTCTAAAATATTCCACATCCACAAGTAATTTTGCAGTTTCTGTCAAAGATTATTTTAGCGAATAAACTAAAAGTTTCAGAACTTTATTTCCCATCATGCTTTGTTGTACAAAATGGCGTTGCTGCACTTTGTATCTCAGGTGTATATATATAATGTATGAATTTCATAATTTATAATACAGTCACTTGCATGAAGGTTGTTTGGAAATTCACAATTGCATTAGTTTAATATCATCTCTACACTTTGCCTGATGCTGTGATCGCCTGCCTCTATTCTTCAGTGCTAAAACAAGACGAAAACATCGCAATGAACTGCCGCCGTAGAAGACGTAGAAGTTTAACAATACGAAAATATTGTTTTCGAGACCACTTCCCAAAACTGGGAATCCTTTTTCTTTGAAAGATATAAGTGATTTTAAGGGAAAATCCATTCGTCTCATGCAATCTAAAGCGGTGTTATTGGGAAAATTCAGTTCATGAAAGAAACCTTAAAGTCTTATGAAAGTCACAAACAAATTTGTTATAGAACCCAGACTCTACTCGGGCTTAGAGTGAGTTTCCAATGAACAACCTTTCCGCTAATGACAGTCACTTTAAAAATATAATAATATAATATATATATTCATATTTATATTAGGTAAACTTTGTTGTTCCTATATAATTGAAAAATTCGTCTATGGGGATTAGTCACCGAAGTCATATACTTTAGTCCRCAATGCATTTCAGCCGGCTCACCTTTTATACTGACTAACCGCTGTGCGCACTAATCGCACACATCATGATCACGTCGTGCCATCTAAGAATTTGATTCACAAAAACATATTGAATCCTGTYGGTATAGCTTCGTTGTAGTTTCCTGCGCCATTTCGAAAGGCAGCCGATCATGTCGCAAAGAAGCAGATCGTAATAAAAGAAAACATGGCTACAAACTCTGCAGACGTTCAATCGTTTAGTGACTACAACAAAGAGATTGTGCGATGTAAAATTAAAGTAGCAGCACAGGGAACCCAAATCTCGAGAAAGAGCTTGACAATTTCCGAGATGAACTATTTCAAAAATATCGCAGATGGATGCAAAAATATAAGCGTGCTTCGCAKCACTTCCTTTAACTGGAAAAATTCGGGCGCTTTAAAGGTTGTAAATTTGATGTAWATATGATGTAAGTGTYCAAAWTTCTGTAAATTTAATGGAAATCATTTACATCAAATTTACAGAATTTTGGACACTTACATCATATTTACATCAAATTTACAACCTTTAAAGCAGGCGATTTTTTCCAGTTTAAATATTTCGTTTTCATTCAAACCTGCGATATTTTTAAAAGCGCCTAAGAATCTGAGCAATCTTCTTTCATAGAAAGAGTACGAACACTAGCCTGCACTAATCAACCCTCTTTGCATTCATAACATTTTGATTAAACCATAAAATTGAATTAAATATATATTAATATACACAAATAMTATATCTTTTAATTTGAAACAGAATCAAAACCGAAAAAATTAACAAGAGAACACTTTAAAAATAACGTACCWAAATCATAAACGCGTGGTGATAACAACACACTCACTTTTTGTTGGCTTTTCGCAGTCTGCCGTTTTGTCGGGCTTCCTGTGCCTAACAGGACAGGAAGCCCGATAAAAAGGTAGGCTAAGAAGGAAAATTATTATCTATGGGATGTCTGTGTCTCTCAGTCACCGGGTTGCCCTAATTTACAACTTTGAAACAGACTGTGACTCAAAAATCTTGTAAGGAAATCAAAAATCTTGCAAAGGAAATCAAATCAAACAGTTTAAACATAAAAGGCAGAAAAGATAGAAGGAAAATATTTCCAATATATTTCTCAAAATAAATAAAGGTGGGGGTCTACCCCTAACGAAGGTCTAAAAATCGATTCGATTCGTAATTACACTTAACATTTAAATATTTCAATTACCAAATACGTTTTATATATACGCGGTTAGCTCGCTCAATTATTCAACCATTTATCAGTTCGCTTATTTAAATAATTACATCTTTTCTTACAATATATCCACTAACTTGCAGAAACAACGTAACGTGACACATTCATCTGTGACACTTGTAACGCCATTAGTTGGGTTTTCGTACTGTCACGCAATTTGTTAAATGGTCACTTCACCTTCAATCTCTCAAATGTGATTGGCCAATATTGGCATTCTCTACGTCTCGACCCATCGCGCAAGGCYTCGATTAACTAGTTCTCTGTTAATCATAATTGTCTGCAAAAGAACAAKATTATCATTATTTCTGTTATTTTAGTGCAGTTTTTGAATGAGTGCATTGAAACAAAACTCATATAGGGTGTCATAGGATTATCATCACTATCATCATCATTATCATCATCATACAGTAATAATCATTATTTTATCATATTTCTCTCCTCGAGTTTATATAACAGGTGCGTGTTTTGAGATTTCATATCAATCAAGAATCAGTGGAATTTATCAATGCAATTTTTTTCGAATAGGTTTTAAGAAAAAAAATAAGAGGGGAGGGCTATGCTCTAGCTCCCAGCGCCTTGGTTGCACCGCCCGTGATATGGCTGTATGTAGAAAAGACGAGTCAACCTACTTGTTGTCCTTGTACCAGATACAATTCTAAACATGGCAACTGGTTACGATGTCCAACAACACGTGCTGTCAACACGGAGTTCATGGTGAGGTCTTCAAGGACAGCTGACGACACAAGTGAAAATCCTTCACCTGAAAACAATTCAAACAGCAACTGAGTAATTGATGTTAGATTATTATGGACTGTACATAGTACATATTATAAGCCCGCCATTTTGAATCGGTTTGCATTGTGTCATGTGAAATAAATCTCMYTTTCTTTATCAAAACAAATTGCTAAAATCGTAAAAACACTAATTAGCTCCGATTTTTCCACAGACAAGATATTGTTTTCTTTGTTGCTTGATTTGCCTAGTAAATGGAAAATCTCGATTAACTGTACATTGTTTGGAGATTTTTCTTGTTGTATTTCCTATTGCTTGTTTATATTTGTTGTTTTTTCGCTGTATGCTTCTTAGATTAACTACAATGTCAATATATTTTTTGAAAACTGAGTCTGCGTCACAGACAACAGGAGTACTGACATCGTTGGACAAGATCAGCAGCAAGCGACAAGAGTGATGTCGGTTAAGGATGCTTTATGTGGTCACGTGGGACAGTATGATGATAATAAGAATGCAAAGTCATGGCTGTCTTTACAGATAGGGAAGGAAACTGGGCTGTATAAACCCATGATATTATGAACAGTAATGGATCAATTAAATAACAAAAAAAACTTGTCTACTATTGCTAGCCCATAAAGAACGATCTCCACTAAATGACTCACGGCGCCTTAAGGAAGGCAGCCGTGCCTTTGCATCGAAGCGAGACCACCGTTGAGCGTGCAATGATAGAAACCTTATTTCACACCTACAGACAATAATTCTCAGGTATCTATAATTGCACGCTCAACGCTCGTCTGTCTTCAACACAAGAGGACGGCTACCTTTTAAGATGGCACAGGGAACCGATGAAAGAGACACGCCAGTTTTGGAATTGCTCTAGTAATACTAACGTTACTATATCAAGTAGTTTCTCACCGTTCATTGGTGCTACATTGGCCAAGTAACACTCCACTGCTTGGAAAGGTAAATAACTTAGGAAGTCCGACCTGTTAGGGGAGAAGTTAGAGTTTAGAAGTAAACCAAATGAATACAAGAGCAGGTTTGGGTTGAAGAAAGAAAAATGAACCTAAAAGTGGCGAAATGCAAGAAACAAAAATCTAAAAGTTTCCCGATTTAGACCCAATTCATTGAACTTGCAACACAGAAGCCCACATTATATTATAGMTTTCATAGTTAGCGCTCTCTGATTGGTCAAATGTTATTTTTTTTATTTCACCGGTAAAAGCACGGATGCGAAAATGCTATAATATAAAAGCAATAAACAACACATTTTCTCGCTTCGAGATTTTTTACGCCTTTTTCGTGTTCTCCCAACATCCCGCGTGGTTTACTTCACCAAGAACGCACGAAAATGTGTGTGTTTATTGCTTAAAGAAACAACATTTGATGCAGGTTGAGAAAACTTGCGCAATGTAGATTATGGACAACTTTCTACAAATTTGCTGTTGGCTTCTCAGCATTTTTGAAAATCATCACGACCACCATTTTGAGATAATCCAGAAAAATCAGCTCGTTTGATTTATCAAACTTAAGAAATGTATGTTGGATGGATTGCGTGGAAAACGAGAAAGACTGTTTTCAAACTTGAACATCAACAAGTAGGTAGTGCGACGCCTTTTTCACTTCAATATGAACAACCGTATTGAATATTTGCAAGTGTGATCATTGAAGATTACCAGGACTACTAGCAATTTTGCCATAATTTTCCTGATCACTTAAGATTTGAAGTCTCTGTCTTTTTATGTGGAATTAATTTACATTTTAAAACTGAAAATTTAAAAACAYTCAAATAAATAAGATAAATGTAATGATGAACTTTCCATCCAATGAGGCAGCTATGGTCGATTTATAACGTCACGGGTAACTACAACGGAGGACAAAATATGTAAGACTCCCTTGACCCATTCTCATAATATTGTAAAAGTTATGTCTGCATAGCCCTCCCCCGCCGTCCTTTTCAATGTTGCGTGAAAGCGTGCGCGATCCTCGCAGCATCGAAGGGCAGCATTGACTGGGTGTGTGTGGAAATATTCTTCTAATTGCAATTGTTTTTTCATGTTTCTTGACAGTCACATCGATTTGATGTGTCCACCGTTTTAGCTTGCCTCGAGCAAAAAATATTTCTGTAAGTTCAACGAGACCATGCGGCCGAGAAATTTCAGCTGCAATGATCTATGGCGAATAGGCTTTAGCGAGAACGGTTTAGTGAACATCCAGGCCCAAAATAAAATAACTATATTATTGTTTTCGCGAAAGAGTAGTTTTGACTGTGCTATTTAAAACTMTGATTCTGAYTTAAGCCACACGAGGATGTTTGCCACTAGAAATTGCCAAAGATCTTTACAACAAATTTGTCATTACGTCACAAATAATCACGTGGGTTGGATCAGCTGTCTCTAAAGTGTGCAGTGCATGTTAAGGGAGTGAGCATGACACTTTTGTTACGCCTCCGCACATGACGCTAATAGCGGTTTAGTTAAGGAAGTGAATACCTTGGACGTTTGGTAATCAGGAAATAAAACTTTCAAGATGTATAGCGTTTTGGTGACTTTATTCGAACTAATTAACACGCAACCRCTAAAAATACGCAATGATGTAACATGAGAACAAGCCGAAGACAAGTAGAAAAAAGGACATGAATAAGAACAAGAAGCGAAACGTCAGGAACACTGATGAACAGACACGAAGCAAAAGGATAATTATGAAAAAGAGAAAGAAAAAGAAGAAGAAAAAGAAGAAAAAAAGAAGGGAAAAAAAAGAAGAAGATCTAAACACAAGAAGGAAAATAAATTAAATAAGAAAACAAAAAAGAAAGGAATGAGTGAACAAGAAAATGAACAAGCAAAGAATAAGAAAAACAAGAAGAAAAATAAGAACGAAATAAAAATTAACGACCRAYATGGCAAATCTTTGAGAGCGCAGCTCTAAAAATCTCTTTAAAGTTCAAARGCTTTTCTCTGATCTTCTTTCGAGTGTAACGAATTTGCTATTTTCATCGTTTTAGTCTATTTATGATCATGCATGTTGAAAATAACCATTAAGGATATGAGAAATCCCCTGTGGTACTGCATTAAGTGACGCTTTAGCCGACTTGAACAACAAATTCTATCAAAGAGCCTTTGCAGATAAACAAAAGTCCAATATTATCTTTTTGACCGTAAGTCAAGTATTCTACTTGAAGGGGAAATTCATCGAAAAAAGAGATAAAAATGTCTATTGGAATAATTACAGGATAAAAAGAACATAAGCTTACTTATATCATGAATATTCTTTGAATTACAATGAAATCTAGATGCACTTAATTGTTAAAATACTGTCATTGAGACATGTTCAACAACACATTTACATTTAACTGAAAATAGCACTAAAACGAAAGCTGAACATCTTTATACTTTTCATTCTTTTTTTTTTTTTTTTTTTTTTGACGATTTTTTTCTGTCTACGTATTGTTGGCTTCCTTTTTATTAGGAAACAAAAGATTTTTCGAGTCTATATGACAACGTACGTAGGAATTAAGTTTATAAAGAGAAATATTAAGTGAAATATTAGCGGATCAAGTGATTTTACAATAAATTACAGGTAACAAGTTGAGGATATTAAACCAAAGTCAAGGTGTAATATTTCAAAGGGCATTAACAAAACCCCAAAAAACCCTGAAAACAATAAATTAGAACATGTATTACACGGATTTAACACTTTCTTATTCAACAATTAAAATATTTTTGTATACAGAAAAAAAATACTCTTAATGTGCGTTTATTATTCCAATATTTTCTAATTTTGCATGATATGACAATGACAATATTTTTTTCAACTTTTTGACTAATACTTTCTCAGCTTTCTCAGTGTTTGGATCTATTAAAACACACATCCATCTTGTTTCGAAGGTTTAAGATACCCACCACTCTCTACAATTTTTAGTTTCCCCTCGCTGCATACAACCTTATTCCTCAAAAATCTTAGCAATAAAACATACATAAAATAAATTATTGACATTGTATATCGGTTTAGATAAAAAAGGTAAAAGATCGTGGTTTCAAGACAAGTATATAATAAAATTATTGGTAAGCAAAAAATTAGTTAATGGAAATATTTATCACAACAAATGCCGGAATATCGTACTTATTTTTCGATTGTATAGAAAGATAGCACGGGTCTGACGAAATAGGATACCTTCTTCAGTTATTTCATCGAGTACATGCAATTTCAAGTTTAAAAAATAAAGAAATACCCTTATGCTATAGATTGACCATCTAATAGCTATCAAGATCATCCGAAGTAAACAACGATTAACATACATTTTTTGATAATTATATAGAGTCCCAAGTTTCTCTCAGTTGAAGTTTCAAGTGGTGTATTGAACACGATTGCATTCGTCGTACGTTTCCCTCTAATATATCTCCATATTTCCCAAAATTTGCACCTCAGTCAAAAGAACTAAAAGGCTTACTCTCGTAAAACAATGATAACGTTAAGTTTAACCAGAAATTGCTCGATTTTCCCCTCATGAATGCATTGAAAAGACAATAAACGTGCTTGCTTGCACACACTAACTAACTTAGAAGCACTGTCTTGCATTAGAAGTCCTCGACATTTTATGCCTTTCTCAAAATACTCAAAAAACGGGCAAAATATAGATAAATAATGATCTACATAATTTTATGCACTTGGAGTTATTCKTTTTCAAATTAAGAGTAAATAACAAGTGCAACAGAGTTAAAACGATCAGCGAAGAAAACAAAACACTTGAAAATATGGGTAGAGACCCATTAAACAAAGAGCGAAAGATCAGTCAGCAAATAGATTTATTTTGATTAATCTTYATTATTATTCGACAAAAAAGTCTTTTTTAACGACAAAGAAACAAACTGATAAAGAATCTAAAGGGTGATTTCCGAGARAGAATTTTGACCTTCTATTTTTGCTTGTACAAATGGAGGCCATGACTTCTCCACGTCGTTGRATCTGTCACTGTTTTTAAAATAGCATGTAGAACTAATAGTTTATATTTRAATAATGTCCTACCTCAGCTGCCGCAAAGACGATGCTGCAATCCGTCCGTAGCCTCCATAATCAAGGTACTTCACCTGAACTTCGTCCCCGTTACCAGTGGGTCCAAGAACTTGAGCGCGATACCAGCCATCATAGGTGAACGCAGGAGCTGCACAGTATGCACCCACAATGATGGGATGAGGTAGAGGTAATGCCAAGGGTCCTCCACTACCTTGGCCATAACACTGAAGCATAGTTTGATGTAATTGCTGCAGTTGAGCCTGCAATGTATCGTTGTGTAGCTGGATGTAGAAGTGGTTCCCGTCTAACACACTCGTAACAACAACATTGAAGTTAGCCAGATTTGGTAGAACAGTTTGTACGTAGGGTACAGGGGTAGCAATTGGAATTGTAGGTACCACAGCTGGTGTAATGACATTTTGTACTTGTGAAGCTGTTGCATTGATCCTGTTCAAGGGAACTGCAGGRAACTTCTCGTGGATCGAATCAAGTGCAGCTTTGATCTGGGAACAGTCTCCAGAGATTGATATAATACGATGTGTAGATACTTCGCCTGGCGATTGTGGAATCAGACGAATCTTTGCTCCAGAATAATCAGAAATCACTTTTACGTTTTTCCCTTTCCGACCAATTAGACGTCCACATAAAATCTGAGGAAACTCAATTTCCCAAATCATTTTCTCACTTTCTGGTACATCACAACTGCTTGCAAGGTACCTCTCTAGTTGTGGCTCAGCATAACTTGATAAAGCTGTACTGTCTCCGCTTCCTTCGCTGAGGGTCTCTTCCAGCCAGTAGTCTTTGAGATCAAAAGAAGGTTGTTTAGGGAGTTCAACTCCCGAGTCAATTGTACAACAAGATGTTTTCTTGCCATCTCGGTGATCCCGAGAGATGATTTTATTATCTCCAGAATTGTCGAGATGTTTTAAGTACTCATCTTCATGTTCATATTTCAATAGAGAGATTTCTTCTTCATGCATCCCTTGCTCCTCCTGCTCAATGGAATTTTTCTCATCTTCTTCACGAGCCTCTGATTTCAACACTTCGCAAATTTCTTCTTCGAAATTTTCAGTTTGTGCAGAACTGTTTGCTATTCCATCTTCGCTGAAGGAAGATTTGTTTTCTTGAATAGTCTCCTTGCTGCCCGACTTGCTTAGCCCTTCGGTTTCCACCATTTTGTCCCGAGGATTTTCGTCCAGAGGAGTGTCTCTATTTTTTCTTCGCCACAATATTGCAAATAAAATGGCAGCGACAGAGGGAACAGCCAGCGATATCAACAGTTTAGTTCTATTGAGCATTTCATTCGGTTGGCTTTAAGATAAAACACAAATATGTAATTAGCACTTCTCTTCAGTTCTGTTCAGTTGCAAGAAACAGCTGAGTCAGTAATGTTGGTAAATCACCTTTCTTAATTTAGGTAAATGAAAAACATATTCAAATAAATTGTGAACGAGAGGGAATGGGGTGAGACGTGAATAAGATTTAACTTGCCGAACACTTTGCCGGACAAATTCCAGACTAATATTTCCGTCGATGACTCGAAATGACCGAATATTCCGTTTATGGAGTACTCATGGATAAAACGAGTGAAGTAATTTTGGCAAAAAGTAGCGCACAATCATATAGCACTATGAGGCGGGAAGAGCGATAATCATATTCGAAAATCCTTAACTTTGGGCTTTCATTACGCGAAATTTGAAACTTTCCGTGTCTTGAAATAAAGATATCTTATGTGATTAGTTTAAAGAGGACGGTGAGAAATAGCGTTCAAATGCTGCACCAGCAACGATGATGTGACACACATCAAACGTCACACGAGACACGACTACAATTTTACTAATTTAACCAAAACTTTCATTATAAAACTGGGATTSTGCGTTTCATTTCAACTACAGTATTTGATACGTCCATTTGGTTAAAGTAAGAGAGTTAAAATGATTGGGACTTCCTGTGCCAAAGTCGAAAAAAACTGCTGGAAAGAAAAAAATATGTATCCGGATATATTCGATCCGTAGTTTTAGAACCAGTCAAATGACAAAGAACGTGGAACGAGAGTGCCGACATTTTAGAAATACCAGAGGTATACATTAGGAAACATTAGAAATTGTTATTATCATTGTTCATCTTTTTTACAGAAAATGTCATCGCTCTCATGATAAAACCGCAGACTAAAAGTACCGAAGACTACACAACAGGGGGMCCGACAATGATATAATTCATCCAAGTAAACTTTTCCACATGCTCGGCTGCGTATCTTACTTAGCAAATCGTATGACAGATCTACCATGTTTGCTATCTAAAAACTTGTTACATAAGAACRAACGGAAATGGAACGTGACATAACACGTGAATCGCCATAAAGACCAAACCTTACAGTCGTACAAAACATTCTAGCTGAAGACTTTTTAAGCTGCGGGCTACACGAGCGAATTTTCGCTTGCGCAAGCGACGCGATTTTCGGGTACGATGAAGGCTGACCATCGCATTTGAGCTGTTTTTGGACATATACCTCTTTAGGAGATTCAAGATACAGTAATGTCGCTCGAATGGCCACATCGTGCGCTGGTGATTTTGAGAAAATCAGGTCGTCTGCGCAAGCAAAAATTCGCTGTAGCCGCGGCTTTACACAGATAGCTGCAATAAAAATACCTTCAAAGTCACATTGCTGCAAAATGTAATTATTAATATTCAAAACGAATTAATATTCAAAATGAATTTGTTTTTTGGATTTTGGATTTAGTACAGTACAGGTGCAAATTATGACCTCTCCAGGGAGTCAAATCTCAAATTGGCGTTTCGCGTATAATATATTTTTATACAAAAAGTCATTAAATGTGAGCCCTCAATATTCTCCATTTTTTATCTAAACTTTAACATTCTTTCAACGACCTACCCTGTACTCAATATAAAAAGACCCATAATATTATGCATAAATACAAACATACTCTCTGTAACGGTTACTGAGAGTTGCAAGAAATTCATTGATTGCAGGCATGGGGTATACAATTTTTTAGATGAATTTTTGTTTCTTAACCTTTGTTTCATTTATTCATTACATGCACCGACTGAGGCACAACGATTTTTTTTCTTGTTTACCAGAATGTTTTTAAGCCTTTTCGAGGGCGTAAAAATATTTTCCGGTCTCGGTTTTCTTCTTTTTAATTGAAATCTAAATTTTCCATGTGAACCCTGCTTGTGTGATTGATAATCCTTTATCATAGACATACACATTTTATAGTAATGCGTGTATACAATAACCATGCGATGAATTAAGTCGTTGAAATCTGGATTGSAATTTCCATAATTTGAATCTAATATACATTTCAAAAGCCACAATAATGGTAAGCAATTTTAGTTTTTCAAAAGTTGCACGAAATCGTCTTCTTGAAATTTGTCTATGCTCGACTATTTTCTCCGATTTAGCCTGCATTTGACTTTTTTTAAGAAATATCTAATGTCCCATCCCTATTGCAGCAAGCGAGATACGAAAAACCTGCGGCGTCACCGCCTCGTCCGTATGCGGTTAGCCTCCCCCCCTCCTCTTCTAAAAAAMTCGATGTTACTGGTCAATTTTACTGTCTGCGAGAATAATTGAGAAATACTTGAATACTTGCACGGATGTAAAGGCAATCAGTGTGTCAACTGTTGAAGCCGGAATATACATATTAAAAAAACCTCAGTGTGGATTATGAAGATATATACCAAATTGAATTAACATTAAAATAACGTCATATCATCAAAGCCAACTATCAAGGGATACTCATAAATTCAAATATAATTTACATTACTTGAAGATCATTTCATTCTGTGCAGTCAATATATTATCAGAAGCACTGTTATATACTYAGGATAATTGCTTTTCCATACGCTTTGGTATCAGTAAAATCGCTAAATTCAAAAGATAGGTCATTATCAAACAAAAATCGCCTCAGAGATAAAGAATAAAGCTATCGTCCCAAGTCGAAAACGAATAAGGAATCCATGGATGCTTCCTATATTCATCCAACATGGCGCCAATGACGTAAAGTAAAACCTAAGATTTGTCATGCGCACTGTGCAGCTTGGTTTCACTGTGCAGCTACTGATTTCAGTCATCGATGTGGAGAGAGAAAAGTTTATACGAAGACAACTATGGGCTTCCAACTTTTCTCTGACTTGGTTACTTTGGTCTTTGTTTTGCCTATAGAACGTTCACGTTCGAGATTTCGAGATGAGCTCGAGATTTCGAAACCCTTGATAAAAARGGGTGCACAATATCTTAAGGAAAGTTGTGCTGGACACTGAAGACTCATTGTCGTTCAATTTCTACTGACTATTTCATATACTTTTACAGTAACAATACCGAGCAATCAGCAGACAGGGATACAGGTGACAACATCGTCTTGTCGTGTTCCCACTAATTCTCAGTCCCTAACGAATTGAATTGTGTTTGGTCTATGCAAAAAAAAAATTAAACCCTTGATAAAGCAGCGACATGATTGGTCAATGATATAATTTGTTTCAAAAAAGCTAAAACCCAAAAAAGTGGAGAGCATTGTCTCGCCTAATTTCTCCGTAAGACAGGTATGATTACTTCAAATAAGACAGCGTTAGTAAACGCAATAAACAAATGAATAAAAAATAAATAAAAGAAAGACAAAGCACAATAAAAGTATAGTAGATTGATTACGTCTTGTTTTCTATGTGAACCGTTTAGTGGTGAAAGGCCAAAGTGAAAACATCATTGTGCAATTTAACCATAATAAAAAGCTCATTTAGGGTATCATTATGACAACAGAAGCAGTTTGAGATCTTATCATAATTGTCTGAATGTAAGTATAAAAAACAGAAACATATGCTTTAAACGTTCTTTCCGGACACGATTAACAGGTTGGTGACGAGGAATACGTTGTGTTTGCTGGTCTCTGATAAAACCATGACATCAAATATTTCTCGTGAGGAATGGATATAATTCACCTTACATATTATTACCAACACGGCCGCCATCTTAAATTCCATTGTTTTCTGTATTGATTCTGACAGAAATATGGCCAAACAAGAACTTTATTCTTGAGTACACCCTTTTGCAAAAATTATGAGAATTGTCTAAATATCTAAATATCATAATATCCATATCCATATATTGTCCGGAACACGCGGGTTTGCTAGAATAATTCATTGTTGACATCGAGAAAATGTTCAGAACTACGGATAAGTCTGTCGCCAAAAAAAAACTAAACAACAAAGACAAGGGACTAAGGGCATCGCGCGGGATTACCCATCATGCACTCGATATTATGGTATTTACATGTAGATATTTCGACAATTCTCATAATTTTTGCAAAAGGCTGTATGCTTTAATGTTAATATCATATTATTAAGAAATGTGAAAAAAAATCGAAAAACAGGAAACCATCATTCAAACCACGAGTATATCAGAGAAAGTAATGTTTCGGATTTTTCGGTACGAATGTACAAACCAATTTGTGTTCTTGCCCCCTGGACATCCCATAATTTCTTCATTTTTCAAGATGGCTACCGTATTGTTTCCAATAAAAGCTTGGTCCATGCATTTATTGCTTAYGAAACTTTTAAAGTAAGACTTCATCAGAAGTAAGCGTTGTTTTTTCAATCGTATTCGTTCCGTTCTCAACTCATTATGTCTATTGAGAGATTCGTTGGAACCGCTTAAATGTGAAAGTACTTAGACAAGCTGCCGCAAGCGATGCGATGTTAATTTGCACAACTAAGCGGATGCTTTGCTTTGTTCGCATGTAAGAAATAATCACACAGCAAGACCGTTTATCACATAGATGACTCAATACCAAGTGGTCGATTTACTGGTGAGTACACTCTTATCTTAAGAAGCGATAAAGTTGAAAAACGTTAGCGATGGATTGCTGAACTAAAACAACCTGAGCTGACTGGACTTCACAAACGGTGCTGACTGAATTTTTTATCACGATAAAAAAGGTCTATTTGAATTTATATGCCGCTAACAGTTTCAAAGGCCGTATTTTATACTTTACCTTACCTCTATAATTCAAATAAGACGATAGGAGCAAAAACGAATTACCAGARTTGAGATCTGTTGAAACGAAAGTCATTTCAAAAGAAGTAAAAAATCTAGTCGACGTGGTTAATTCGTTGTTCTGAAGACAAAAATTAAAGACCGTTTCTCGCTCTTATCCCGCAGGAAATTTGTCAGATCAAGATATTTTAGTAGTGTAGTAAAACAAATTCATTAATCACGCCAATTTTGATATTACACAAGCAGCTGTTCTCAACTCTGTGGAAACGCCCCGATAAGAGTGTGGAACGCCCGGATAAAAGTGTGGAACGCCCGGATAAGAGGGTGGACACGACACCCTACCTTGAAAAAAAACAAAGTGAGAAAGTTACTAACCATGCTGTAAGTACATGTCTTAGGCAATAGAAAAGCTAGAACCACTTTAATACACTGCACTATCGTCCTCCCGAACGCAAGCAGCTATTAGGTTTCAAGACAATTTAAAAAAACAGCGGAAGGCAGGGATCCACAGAAGAATGAAGATTCAGGGAAAATCACTTCCACTTCCATAGTAAATGGATAATAATTTATTCCGCTCAATAAACAACTAGCCTACTAGTCTGACATTAATTCCTACAGAAAAGAAAAAAAAGATGACAATCCATTACTGAGTAAAAATCGATTCAGAATCGAGCTGTTTCTTTGGAATGTACCGCGATTTTTCGAAGTCTCTCAATTAAATATAGCTAAGAATTTTATACTTTCACGAAAGATGCGAACACACGTCGCAAAATTATGGGCTAAAAACTTAAAAACTCAAGCAAATACACGAATAGTGTAGATCAACTGTTTACTACTCTTACCTCTATACAAACAGTTGAGTAAATCGAAATGATAAACGACTGGCTGCACAGATGAATCAACTAATAAATGAAAAAAATATTCTAGAACTTATTAATAATTCATGAGCTATTAGTCCAATGAGCATCGAGCTATTGGGTCACATGATGGGCCTTTATATCCGATAAAGTACTGATGTTTTATTAATCAGTTCTATATCAGATATATAGAACTGATGTTTTATTAATCAGTTCTATATCATATATAAAGAACTGATCAATTTCATCAGCGCTTTCTCGCAACCCAACACTAGCAAAGGTCTCACTTTTAATGTCGCATCATTGACCTTTGCTAGGTTTTAAATCAGTTTGAATTGATGTGCCGACATGCACTATAGCTAGACTAGCCGTTCTTTCGTGTGGGATCAAAATTATTTCAATCATGGCACAATGCACATGCTCATTAGAAGTTCAATATGCATTATCACTGTTTTCGTATTTCTTAGCTTTTTTTCTAAAATGATAACAATTTCTGAATGTTGGAGTTCTTGCGGCTCGAATCTATATATCCCGATAAAACATGCACTCTCGTTCTATAAACAACACATAATGTATGGGGTACTGGCCCTAGGGAAGAGGCCCTAGGTTGACTCTC